AACATCTGTTTATGCTTTTTATCAAACATTTTCTATTTAATTTAATCTCAAATATTCCTGATTCTTCTGAAGTAGTTAGATTTGTTTTTCATTTGCTGTTGTTGAACTTTGTCTGATTCTAATATTACTGAGGTTTTAATTATTTGTGTTTGTCACAATCTCAGCCACACCCCAACTGTCCCTGAGGTAATTAATATTTGTCATAGAATTTAAGAATTTATCTTGTGTTCCTCTTAACAATTTCTTGGAATAAGAGATACTGGCTGGTACAGTTGGTGATACTGAAATAATCTGAAAGAAAGGTACCTCTCTTTTTACCTGAGCTTCCTTTATTTCTCTCGTTATCCACAGTTCTTGCACTGTTGTAACTTTTTTCTACTCTTTGATTAATGACTAGGTGACGATCCATTTGTCTATATTCCTCTTTGTTCACAAACAGGGATCCTTGATCACAAATAAGCAGTAGATTTCACTTTCTATTTAGAATTTTTTTTATTTTTATATTGAAGGTAAACATCTCATAAGTTAGCAATTTCCATGTTTCAGGGTCTTTGAATTCTTGTTATTATTTAGCACTCAGTGTCTTTTACTGAAATCTTTATATTTCTCCAGTTTTTTTTACAAAACAATTTGGTTTTGCTGTCAGTCTCTCTTATCTTTCCATTTACATTTTTGTAAAATTCATTTTGGCTAATTTCTTTTCTGTATTTTATATAATATATAAACACAGATAGAAAATAAATTTGAAACATCCTGTATATCTTTCAATTAACTCAAGATTAAATATACAAGTCGTATAGCTTGATTACAGTAAATTATCAGACAAACATGTCCCAAAATAAGAGATATATCAATTCAGAGTTTAATATATATATAATATATATCAATACTATTCAGATTCTAATACACTGTTTATCCTCATTGGGTATTAACTCAGCCCTGAATTCTTGCATGCATATGATCATACAGATAGTGAATACCATTTCATGATGCATTATTCTCTGACTCTTGCATCTTTTGATGCAATACAACAAGGGTTGTAGGTAGGTGAACTGAATGATTTCAGAATTGTCCCATATATTTTCAGTGGTTGACAGATTTGCCAAACAGCTTGCATAGCATGTTGAGTAGTACAGACATGATGTAGGAAGGCATTATTCTGCTAGAACAGCACATCACCTTAGTGTTTTAGGAATTGTAGCAGAATGAGCTGGACATTGTTCTGGATGTACATAGCTTTATTTAACACTACCTTTAGAAACATCAAAGGTTAGTGAGAGTTGTAACCGATGGCATCACATACATCATGATGCCAAGTATTGATCCTGTATATTATGGGTTAATACACCTTGGAAAATGTCCAGGTCTTATGTCATACAGGTAAATAATCAGCACTTGCATAAAGTTTGTGACACAACTGGAGATGCGCCAGGCTGTGTCCTAAGTCTGGTTAGTAGCATGTGTGACTGTCGTCTTGCTGCAAGTAAATATCTTCCATTTGTCTGTGTTGACATTTGGGAACCACATTTGGTTTGATCTTTACTGTGGATGTTATGTGGCCTGCTACTGCTTACCATTGAATGCATTATTCTTGCCAAACATCTGTGTTCTCAGACTGTCCAGAATCTGACCCGCAAGTAGAGGAATATTTGCTTGCTTCTTGTTACCAACACAGAATTACTACTGATACATGAAGTCCAATATATTTAAAATGGCTCTAATTCAACAGAACAACACACCTAATTGCACTGAACTCCTTTCACTAAACTGACACTTATTAGACTTATTGTCACTGAAGCCCAGACACAGATGGTGCACTTGTGTGTGTGTTACTATATCCGAAGTTTGCTGAAGACTTGCAAAATCTTATGAGGGGGAACTAACAAAATAGGAATGACCTGAGGCCATGAAATGTATATTTTATTCTATATTTTTGTCCTTAAGTTCAACACACATGGTGTTTCTCTAAGACTTCCCCCCACCCAATTTCTGATTATTGATCATTGAAATACAGATTTTTGCCAAGTTGTATGGGCTGTGAACATTTCATCATTCACTCATGATACCATCAGCTTGCACATACTGTAACCAATCTTTCAGAATATTTAAATTTTCTTTTCCATCAGTGTGTGTGATTATATAATGAAAAATATAGTTAAATTTGCTTTTAGAGACAAGAATGCCCAATATCAGCTGGAGCATTTGGAGATAAAAGCAGTGCATCAAAATCAACACTGCATTGTGACTGGCAGTTTCATTCCTTAATCAATCAACCATGTATAATGTGGAGACAAAGGATTGAGCATGTCTTTTTGTGGTGGTGTGATTTGGGCTAGGGCCTATTACTTTGTCGGGTGATGGTGGAATGAGTATGATCTCTAAGACCCAAAACTAGCAATGCAACCAGGGCACATGACTGATAACTCACCTTGATACAACACCTTTTATGATGTAATTTTTAATTCTATGCTGTGGAATTCCAACTGTAGAAGAGTGAAAATAAAAAGTAAATATTTGTGTTGTAGATAAGGTTCTTGGCAACTTTAAGCTTATATAAATACAGCAAGGCAAAAATAGGTTAAATAAATGTACAAAGAAAAAATTATTAACATTTTTAAAAACATTTTTTTTTTTATTATATATGAGGGAGTGTGGAGGTCAGTACCGAGTGGCAACAGTCTGTTACCTGCTTGAATGTAATCTTCAGGCCTGAAGATTGCATTCAAGCAGGAAACTGACTATACAAAAGTGGACTGAAAAGTTCAAAGGCTGACTATGAAGGAGTGATGCTAGAGCTGTGAAATCATGCATGCTTTAATTTCAACTCTTCTTATTAACTGCATTGTTTCTTTCCTGGTAAACTGACATCTGACTGTTCATCCTGTTCATCAAAAAAAGTCATCAACAACAGATATGTCATCATCATTTCAATACTTGTTCTCAGCCAGATGTTTTTTCATGTTGGGGAAAATGATAGTCAAATCAGGAGAATAGGGAGGGTGATCAACCAGTTGAAAGCCAGTCACGCACAGTAGTCATCGTAATCAAGGACTATTTTTCTGGATCATTGTCCTGATGAAACAAGATCTCTTTTGTTGGTTTTCCTGGACGTTTGGTCTTGATAGCCTTTTGTCACTGCCAAAGCAAGTTGGCATAGTCCCCTTTATTGATGGTTTGGGCCTTTTGAAGATAGTCAATAAACACTATACCTTTTGCATAACAAATAACCAAGGTCATTACCTTCCCTGCAGATGAAATGACTATGATATTGTTTGGAGCATGTGATGAAGGGTGTTTTCACTGCATGGATTGTCTCTTTGTCTCTGGTTCAAAGTGATGAACCCAAAACTCATCCTGGGTTAGGAAATGTTCAAGTAAACCAGCTAGATCTCTGCCTCAGACAGTGTTAGATTTTCCTGTGATGTGCTCAGCCTGTTGTGCTTTTGATCAAGTGTCACAAAATGCCAAGTTCATTGTGCAGAATATTCTCAACTCTCTCACGGTACATGCTAATAGCATTGGCTATTTGATTTATAGTCGGTCACCTGTCATCTATCACCATATGGTGAACACAATCCATGTTTGCCTTGGTGTTGGTAGATGCAAGACATCCAGACCTTGGGTCATCTTCAAGACTCCCTTCTCTTCTCTTCTCCAGTTCAAAGTCACACACTGCAGTCATTGAAATCAATGACTTGTGTGCTGGAGCATTGTCAGTTTTCCTGGGCATTTGGTCTTGATAGCCTTTTGTCACTGCCTCAGTAAGTTGTCATAGTACTTTCCATTGAGGGTGTGGCCCTTTTGAAGATATTCAATAAAACCAATACCTTTTGCATCCCCCCCCTCCCAAACTGAGGCCATCACCTTCCCTGCAGATGAAACGACTATGAGCTTCATTAGAGAAGATGATGAAGTGTGTTTCCACTGTATGGATAGTCTCTTTGTCACTGACTCAAAGTAATGAACCCAACACTCATACTAGGTTAGGAAACATCCGAGGAGACCAGCTGAATCTGCCTCGGACAATGTCAGATATTCCAATGATGTGATCAGTCTGCTGTGCTTTTGATCAGCTATCAGAAGATGTGGCACCCAGTGAGCAGAAACCGTCGTCATGCCAAGTTCATTGTGCAGAATATTTTCAACTCTCTCACGGTACATGCTAATAGCATTGGCTATTTGATTTATAGTCAGTCGCCTGTCATCCATCACCATATGATGTCCAAACCATGGGTCATCTTTAAGACTCACCTTCTCCTTCTAAATTCAGCTGCCCACTTTTGCACTGTTGATAAAGCTGGTGCATCATTCCCTAATGTAGCAACTATATCAGCATGAAAGTCCTGGGGACTAAACTCTTTTTCTGCAGGTACTTGATAACATCACCATACCAAATTTTGTCCATTTTCAAGAGAAGTCAATATTAGTTACTTTTTATGTCTTTGAATGGTCATATATTAGTTTATTTGGAAATAAACAATACAAGTATTAATAAGGAGGGTTGACATTAATGAATGCAAAATTTCACAGCTCTAGCATTCACTCCTTCATAATCAGCCTATGAACTTTTCAGCCCATCCTCGTACATATAAAACAATATTTAATCACAACTTGATCGCTTGAAAAAATTAGATTTGAATCCTAAGTTTTTGTTTTATATTTGATATTATTTTTAATTTCTTAATATTTGATGTAGCTTATGAACAAACCACTCCCTTTCCTTCCATGATTATTTTTTTTTTCTTGCTGGAGAGTTCTAACACTACCTTTCATATTCATTATGTATTTTCAATATTTTTTTTTTTTTTTTTTTTTAAATATTTTTCATGAGTTTTCGTATAAGAATTTTTTATTTTTCCTCCTCCTTGAGAAAACCTTTTGACAACATTTTTATAATTGATATAAAAAGAATGCGCAGATAAAAAAAACAATGAGCAGATTTTTTACCAATTTTCTTCTTTTTCTTTTTTTTTTCTCTCTTTCTCCCTTATTTGTTTCAGGGTCTTCAATTGGGTACCACAGAAGCATCTCGTTATTGGGTCTACTGGGTCCCTTCCCAGTACGCAGAGGCCATCAAAGACGCCATCCTTGGCAAGTGGCAGTATTTTTGATCCAGCTGGTTCCCTTTCCATCACTTTTAATTTTTATTTATTTTTTTTTTTTTTAATTCCTTAAACTCCATCACTTTGCCAAAGAAAAAAAAAAAAACAGAATGAAAAAAATCTAAAAAAAAAAAAAAAACTCAAGTCTAAGCTGCCAAGTAAGGACGGACTTCAACAACGTGAGTAACAACAACAGTTGTGTAGCCAACATTAGGGGAGACAAAGTTCTTACTACAAACTCTGGAAATCCTATTAATGGCTTGCTAACAGTGTTTTGTTTTCTTCGTTTTTTCTTTAGTTGGGGTTAGGATAACAAACCTTGAATATAAAAAGAAGAAAAAAAAATAAAATAAAAACATGCATGCATACACACACACACACACACACACACACACACATATATATATATATATATATATATATATATATATATATATATATATATATATATATATAATTCTTCTGTGAAGGATTTTTACTGACTTTGTTGGAGTCAGTCCCACTCCAACAATTCAATCATCATCATCGCCACCAATTTATAAGCAGTGTTTTTTTTTTTTTTTTTTTGTGTCATCTGTAGTGGGCTTTTCGCACGGCACTTCTCATAGCTGTGATAATAACTACAATTCTGCTTTGCATATCCTCACTGATTTTTGCCATCTTCCGAATCTCCTGTATTCCGCATCTCTCTTTCAGTTCTGAAATTCTGTGTTACCCAGAAGTTTGTCATCTTACTTAGTGAGGCAAAATCTGTACTGTCTCTGTTAAGGGGGCCTTTTCAACCATAGATGCTGCAAGGTCATTTGCTTAATGATATTTTATTTATTTTTGAAAAAAAAAAAAAAAAAATTAGGATGAATAGACTGGCATAAATAGAATGGAATGAATAATTTTGAACAAGATTCATACAGTCCAAAGCAGCTCCAATCAACTTGTGTATAATAGGTATCAGTTGATTTTGATTTTGTCAGATTTGTGGCAGCAGTTTTTTATCTACAGGCATAGCCCCTTCTGCAATTTTGAAGCTTGCAATGAGACACATTTTAACTCTGATGCATAACTAATATAAAAACAGAACTTAATTAATCTAATTTTAATAGTGGGTAAAAAGAAAAAGAAAAAAAAAAAGGACGTGTTTTTCAGAAATTAAAATTACTGCTGCAACTAACCAATCATCTGGGGTTGAATGCGCATGTTCACTTTTCAGTTATTTTGAATCAATTACCCCCACCCAAAAATAAACTCATGTCCATATGTAAGAAAGCATGAATTGATCTAATTATCATCAAAACTAGACTAATTACCCTCCTATAAAAATGAGGAAAAAAATCCTGTCAGAATGCAATAAATATTGTTTAGAACACAACTGAAATAAAAATTTTGTATTATTTAATTATATTCAGCTGATGGAAAAATTCACATTTACTAAGATTTTTTGGATGTGCAGGCTGAGAGATGTATTGCTCACTGTTTAATAAGTAAAAATGGAGAATCTATTTCAAATAAAATGTATTCACCATAATAATGTTTGAAGTAATTTTATATATATATATATATATATAAGCTTCCTTTTTGATGTTTAATTAAAAAGTAAGATCTTTCATGGAGTGGGGAAGTAATTATACTGCATTTTTTTTTTTTTTTTTTTTTGGTATCTGTTGTGTTAGAATTTAGTTCTCTACTTAAAGTGATCCCCCCCACTCCCCCTGCATCTATTATGCACTTGTTAATGCATAAGTCTGTCTTAGTAAAAAGTAAAAGTTTGGCAATGCAATTAGGATGGGATAAAAATAGAGAAGTTTGACTACTGGCTCCAATAACCAAATCAACATGCCCTAATACCCCCCCCCCACCCCCGGCATGGATAAACAGGCCAAATCTCCCTGACCTTATGAACTTTGTCATGATAGTAGTTAGTAATCAGGTGGAGAGGAACAAGTCATATTTTAATATTTTTTTTTCCTTGATAAGTGAATAAATAAATAAAAGCAATGAAGTTAATTAGTTTGTAGGAATTTTAATCTTATCAGATTTTCTCAGGAATCTCCTAACTTATTTTGTATCATTTCAGATCGAGTTCATTGGTCTGCTATGCACATTGCAAAAGATTTTAGTGGCTAGATATTTTTGATATAATAAAGAATGTCCACTTCAGCTGATATGTCTTTAATAAAGAATTTGAGATTTTGATTTTCACCGAGAGCGGAGATAAAAAAAAAAATATATATACAAAGGATATGCATAAGTTGCGTTTCTTTTAATTCCATCAACAAAATATACTTTGTGGATAAGGAGAGTACCATTTGAAAAATGATTTCTTGGACATTGGGGAAATCTTGAGGGTGTTATCTCAAAAATCCATTTGGTAAAAATAAATAAAAGAAGAATAAGATTTAAAATTGTTTTACCTTCACCAAAGAAACTTTTGTAGTTCAGTCAATGGCCTACACATCTCCAAAAGTAATAGTAGGAAACTTCTTGAGCACATTGGTGTGCCTTGATGAAAGGGCATTCACTTTTCTCAGTCATCTCATATTTATTTATATAAATATAATTTTTTTTTTTTTTTTAAGCCTCTGAGAAAAGCATTGACTAAAAGAGAAGTGTTGGATAGATTGGCAGGGGGCAAGAACTTTGGGGTCTGCAAGACAGGCGCCACTTGATTCAATTGTTTCTTGAATCTTTTTTTTTTTTTCTTTTGTTTTTGTGCTCCACAGATAACATGAATCTGTTGAGAGTACTTGTTACTTGCATACAAACTTGTGATGAGCATTCATTTATCTACTGTAACTTATTACCACGTTGGAAGCTGTTGTCTGTTTTGGATATGGAAGACTTGGTCTAGTTTGCTCATCTTGTCTATTATTGTTATTTTTATTTTTTTTTCAATTTTTTTTTTTTTTTTTTTTGTACACCAAGCAAGTTCAGTTTGATGTGATTGTGTCTTGAAAGTGTCTTAATGTATTGGGTGCCTCAACAACCCAACTTTTTCAAATAGATTCAAGATCTCAGCTGCTCTTCAAAAAAAAAAAAAAAAAAAAGAAAAAACAACAAAAACAGAAAACTATATTCACATGACCGACAATGATTTTTTTTTTTTTTTTTTTTCGCCTTTTGTCAAGGCTCTTGAAACAACTTTTGAATTTTCTTTTTAAATCCATGCTTTTTATTCAAGATTTGGTTCATATCAAAAAGAAAAGGGAAGAAAAAAATATTCTTGTTATTTGTTTATTTTATTTATTTATTTTTTTTTTGCATGCTTACACACATTAAGCTTTTTGTTGGAGTTTAGCTTGGGCCCAAGAAGAGTGGTGTACCTGGTGAGGATTGAACTCGCTACTATGACAATGGATGGAGGAACGATTATCACAAAGAGGAATCAAAGGAGCAAGTATTACTGGAAGCAATGAGATACAGAAAGCAGTGGCAAAACATGGTCATCACAAGTTTTTATGTCATTAATCCTTGAATTTCCATCAGCCATGCAAATTCCTTTTCAATTACAAATCTGATTAGCCTTTTTGTTTTAGCACAAAGCATATAAAGTCTAGCCTGAAGGAAGCCTGAGGTAGTTGCAAATTTTGCAATAGTATCAGAAGTTTGTGTTCAGACCCAGGTATAGCTGATAATTTTGAATGTTGATTTTATTTATTATTTAAGCAAGCAAACCATCATTGCTTTGAGTATTTGGGGGGAAATAACACTTCCCCGCTCTACTATTTGGGCTTGTGGCATTTGAGAGAGAGACCTTAGTAAATATCACGTCTATTTCAGACATGGAAAATGTTATCCAGTTAAAAAAAAGAAAAGAAAATAAACACGATATTCTTGTTGAGTGGTGTCTATATGGGCCAATTGCTGCTGGCTTTGAAATAAGTTAGGATAAGGTCATCTAAGCTTCCATATGGGTGTGTGGCTGAGTGGTTAGAATGTTTGCTTTCTGACCATGAGATCTGGGTTCGAATCTCACCGGGGTCGATTTGTTAGGAAAGTGACTTCCTGATGTTATCGGTCTGGAGGAAGCAATCCCAGCATGCAGCACCTTTTGAAAAGTGTCTGAAAACCATACCACAGGTTGACCTAAGCCTTATGAATGAAATTTGGGAACTGTCAGTGGTTGTACTTGCACAAAGTCACAAGTCATTGTGACTGAGGGTTTGAGTGTGCTGGCCTTGTTCAGACTGTTGATCAAGCTAGATAACATACTCTCTTCCAGAAACTAACTAATGTCCACTCAGCATAGTTGCAGTATAAACCACAGGTGGGCTCTGAGAGTGTTAATTAAAAAACAGAGCATTTACTTAAATAAATTATATCTATAAAAATAGCTTATAAACAGAAAATATATTAAATAATTGTTGGACTTAATCTATTTCATTATATATATATATATATATATATATATTATGCAGTGTTACATTAGAACATGCACATACCCACTACAAAACTGTACATCCTGTTTCAGCATTAAAATTTTTTTTTAACGTTTCATCAGGTGGGAGATCATAATGCTACTAATGTTTTGAATGCTGAAACCTTACTCTTCATTCTTTTACATTTGGTGATATATATATATATATATATAATACACTGAGTGCTAGTAGTAATAATAAAACTGGGCTTGATGTAAAATCATCTAACATTTAAACATTATTTCTCACTGCTCAATGTTATTCAAATTTTCTTATAGCAATTGCCAGGCACAAATTTGTGCCTGATGATTGCTATAAGCATGGAATTCAATTAGACTTGCATTATTACAGATTTGCATATCCATTTCTAGTACCAAATTTTTATTTTTATTTTTTTTTTTTTACAACCAGGTTCAAAACCCAACTACACGTACTTTGTGCATTTTTCATTTAATAAATTTTTTTAGTCTTTGATTTCTAATTTTTCTCCCTGGCACAAATGGCGAGCCTCTGAACCGGCTTTGTAAGTTAAGTTTTTCTAAACTCCTCAGGTAATTTCAGGGAAGATGTTTTTTTAATTTTAACTTTCATGTCCTA